AACCCGGAATTTTTTTTATACGGGATAAATAAAAATCCGTTTTTATTTGTATCGGTAGCCATATAAACAAGGCCTAAAACAGTTTTTCCAAGTGACCTGGTGCAGGTTTCTGCATGATGACATTGCGACATATGAACTGTCTCTTTGTGATGGAGCTTAGTCTCCTTTGAGAATCATGTTTTGTTGAGCTTCCAAATTTGCTATATTCCTTTAACCCCCTAAGCAGCATGGAAGCTAAGCAATGTACTGCTGCAGATGCCACATTAGTTGAGATCAGAAAATCACACAATAACTTGATGAACCGATAGAGGCAGCAGTAGACCAGCAACTCCTGTGTTTTGCCAGGTAAAATTACTGTTTTTGCCAAAGGAGTTTGGTAGCCCTGAAGAAAGTGACGTAACGGCTTAAAGCCCCCATCAGAAAGACTATCTGATTGCAAGGTAAAGGCAAGCAAAATTAGGGCTGACCCTAATGCTTCAAAGCTATGAAGCTTCAATGGTTTGCTATGGTAATTGGCATCCAAATCAGCATTTGAATGCTTCATTTTTTGTTTTACTTTTTACCAGTAACCTGCTGGAGGAAACTGAAAGGAAGTGGCAAGTGCCAGACACAGGTTAGGCCAGTGTTGTCAGCGCAGTTGCTGACCCTGCCTCAAGCAATTAAAGTGGCTGTCTGATGAGAAAAAGAAATGGGTGAGACGAATTGCATCTTGTGATTCGGCCTGACCCAGTGTTCAGAGTTATTAATAACTTAGAGAAACACGGCTTGCAACAGTCCAACTTGTCTTGCCTCTCTCTCTATCACTCTTCCTCACACACACACGCAGCGGTGCAAAGGCTGAACCGGATCAGGTGGTTGAATAGCATATATGACTGATTACTATTATACTCCGTGTCCTGTCAAACCATCAGATATTTGGCGTAATTCTCACTGAAGCTTCGAAACCTCAAAAATGGTATTCAAAAAACCCAGAATAGAATGCAGATGGACCCACCCTTCAATCTGAATGAGAAGAAAACAAGGTTCTGCTCACCTCAAAATATGTTCGGGTTACAAATGGCCAAGAAATCAGCAGTTTTAATTCCTCACATATACATACATTTTAAAATAATTGGCTTTTAACTCAGATTCTTTGGCTCATGAGCATCAATGTCAGAGTTAAGGCTAACTAGATGTGGATCTTTACTTGATGCTCAGACAGCTCTTTTAAAGTGGTTTCACTCGTCACAAACGTAGAGCAGAATGATGGTCACGAGTTAGGGAATTATTAGTGCAGCCTCCCATCTGAACACTAACCTGAAGTGTGTCTTTGCATCCACTCTATTTGTTTACTCCTCCTGTAATGATCAGTGCTCCACAGTGGCACACAGAACAGTGATTGCCCCTCAGAAAGTGTTTGATCTTCCGTCTGTACACTGGCAATAAAAGGGAGGCTGATTCTCACAAAGGCAACATGAAAGCCTTCTTAGTACGACACAGCTACTACACGCGTGTGTGCAGGAGTGGCCGGGCAAGTGCTGCACCTCCGTCATTTGCAGACATTTGGCTTCCTTTCCCTCATCTTCCATGCTGTTTTCAAGCTGCACTCTGAGCTCATGCATTTTTAATGAGTGGTCATTTAATCTTTCTGTAAATTGCCAGACTGCAACCGTCTTGTAATAATTACCAATAATTACAGAGTTAGGAATGCGGTCGCTATGCAACATCAATAGAGAGGAGATATAAGGAAGAAGGAGACTGTGAACTGCTGGATAATGTGTTTATTCCAGGGTTTATGTGATGTTTTATTCCGCAAGTGTTTGGTCAAATTGCGTTAAGTGTGCTACTCAAACTCTGCATCATCTCTAATGATTACTGAGAGTCCTGTGGGTGGAAGCATGGACACAGGCACTCACAGTGAATGTATGAATGACATTAACAGTAAATATTCAGCTTTATTTTGGTGAAAGGATATTTAGGTGGGAGATTTAATATTTCATGTATTTGGTTCCAGTTAGACTTGATTATGTAGGCCCACATCTGTGATGCTAACAGTTAAAAAGTATAGGTATAGAGAAGTTAGGGACTGTACACAAATGACTTGTGTGTGGGGAGAACTGCACTTTATGCATTTTTTTTTTTTTTTTTTAACAGCATAGTTTATTACTTAGACTTGGAAACAAACTGCCATACCCTCCCTCCTAATACCACAGAATGAATAATAAAAAAAAAAAGTTTCAATAAAAAAACTAAAAAAGGAGAAGCATCAAGAAAAAGGACGCTTTCACACCTGCCCTGTTTGGTTCGGATCAGTCGAAGTGCAGTTCGTTTGGGCAGGTGTGCACACAACAATCGCACTCGGGTGTGCACCAAAACAACCGGACCGAGACCACCTCTTCAAGAAGGTCTCAGTCCGGTTACAAACGAACTCTGGTGCGGTTCATCAAACCTCGATCTGAACCAACTGCAGTAACATGACACATTGTTTGGGTTAAACATGAGCATGTTACAGTCCTGGAGGATTATTAATGTGCACCTCCTCCTGTACTGCCTTAATATGCACATTCAGCACATCCAATGCATCAACACATTGTTTTCTAGTTGGAGCCGCGCCTCGTATGTTTTTGTTTTTTTTTTAAGATATTTTTTGGGCATTTTTAGCCTTTATTTGACAGGACAGACAAGCGTGAAGGGGGGAGAGAGAGAGGGAGTGATATGCAGCAAAGGGCCACAGGCTGGAGTCGAACCCGGGCCACTGCGGTAACAGCCTTGTACATGGGGCGCCTGCTCTACCACTAAGCCACCGACACCCCATCAAACTGTATGGTTTGACTAAAATGAACAATGACAGCAATTTAGTCCACGATGAGCGGCGCTAAAATCATCCTGCGTAGTTGACCCTCCATTCTGACATTAGAAAGAGTCAGATTTACTGTATCTTGCAAGTGTACTCTTATTCAACGTTTTGTTTACTTCCTGGATTTTTCCCACATGGAAATTCTGACCAATCAAGAGCAGCTTTCTCGCGCAAGGCATTTGATCTGGTCCACTTGTAAATGCTGCTGTGAGAACACGAACAAACTCAAGTAAATTGTGCAATTTTTTAACAAAATTAGTCCCTGATTTAGACCAAAGCAAGACGACTCTAGGTCTAAAAGCACCCTGAAGCATGAAGACTGAAAGATTATGTACCACTATGTGAACATTTGTTATCTTCCCGTGTCACTAAAATGTGTAAGTAGCAATTGCCAGAGATTTTGTAGACATAATAAAATTATTTCCAAATGTTCGAGCTGATCTCGAGAGGAATAGTATCTGCTCATCTGTCCCTGCTTTTTGTGAGTAAGAACAGAATGATATTTATACATACCTATATAGCATATAGTCTACACAAATTCAAGTGTAAAAATGTTTGTAAATAAGGGCCTGACTATTAATACCTTTTTTCATACTCTAAATATTTGGCACTACACTGCACAGCTTTTATAGGGCACACTGTAATAATAAAATATATTTTGATTACCTTTATAGCCTATACTTCTACATATTTCTGTATCATGATTGGGTAAATATTTCTGGCCAACATAGGGCTGGCTGATATGGTTAAAAATATTATCACAATAAAAGATTTCACATCAGTCGATAATGATAATATCTATGATAATTATCAAGTTTAAAGGCTGATTTTTGCTCCTGGATGAAAGTTTAAGATATTAGATGGTCAATTGTGATTGAAATTATAATATATTTTTAGAACATGACAAACACTTGCCAAACAGTGGAACATTTCACAGATCTAAGGTGAACTGAAAACAATAAGAATCAAAATAGTGTCAGTAAATAAAACAATAGACAAAAAATCTCAACTCTGGTCAGCATGTTAAACTCTTTGGACAGAATGTTTGGAGTAAAATGTTTCTGTAATGTAATAATGTTAATGTACGCATGTATGTATGTTGGTCTCATCTTCTGCTGCTGCTGCTGCTGCTCCTTCTTCTGGTTAATGGCGGGTGGAAACTGGTGATTATTGTGCATTACCGCCCCCGTCTATGGGCATATGGGTGGTTTAACTTTATGGACGATTCATCAAACATTCATCATGGCTTTATCGATGAAGATTATATCGGGATAATTATTATCGCCCAGCCCTAGGAGTACATGACTCATTTACCTTTAAATACAGTATTATTTCTACACATTCAAAAAAGTCAGTTTTGTGTTTTGGTCTGCGATTGGAAAAACTAAAACTGCATGCCTGAACTGCACTGAATTTTGGGTAATTAAATAAGTGAAGTCTGCACTCATGCAGACTCTCTGGGAGTCAGCAGGAAGTCACCTCAAGGTCCCTTGTGGACTGGATGACTTGTGGATGTGGATAGCCCACAGCACTCACAGACTTCCCAAGAACATGCAGCAATGTCTGTAAGTCTGCAAGTGAAGCCAAAACTGTTGACTAAAGCAAACGTGTGCAGTACAGATCACATCAGTAATGTAAACTAGACAGACACCGTCAAACTGTCTCTATTTACTACACTGATTAGTAGGTTTGTCGGCGACATGTTAGGCTGAACTTGCTTTATACTATTGTAAAAACACCCACATGCCTTCTCTGAGGGTCTCATAAACATGACAAACAATCTTTTTTCCACGTATTTTCTTTTAATCACCATTTGATTTACGTCACTTAATAAAAAAGACTCATAACATGATGTGTTTGACAGCCACATGCTGTTAGGTATAAAAATGTCAGCATCAGTTTAAGACCAAACCGAAACCATCAATCACATCAATCAAAAATGTAAACTAGATGAGAGCAGGCGGTTTAAGCAGGGTGCTGCACTATAAATGAGTCTTATCTGAATGATTAGAAATAAAGTACAACCATTTGATGTCAGTCACGTCGGCATTTACCTGCTCAGCTATATTTAGATCGTTCTCTCAAGTCACTCATAAGCTGTTTGCTAGTGCTCGTCAGTTATGTATGACCTCATCTCCCTTTCACTCTTCTGTCATTCCTGTAGGAGTCTTCTGGTTCTACTGATATGGCTGCCGCACTTTGGAAGCCTAAATCACTGGACTTGGGCTTGTGGATCTTCCTCCTGCTCCTCAATCTCCTTCCTGAAGCCAGGTACAACACACTGTATTTTCTATTTACCGTCGTCCTTCCTCTCCACCTATTTCATTCCCCTGGCTCCGTCCCTCTCGTCGATGTTTTGGTGATGCGTTATACCTTTATTAATCATGCTCGCTGCTGCTGCAGACATTGTAATCTAACCAACAACATTAGAACCTAAAGTTCATTTGTATTGAATACACAGAAAAGGCACGAAATGTCTTTTGTTATTACACAGTGAAATGGCCTCAGCTGTGACTGTCAGTTTGGCAAATGAAATAACCAGACCTCTGTAATGGTGTTGACCAAAAACAAAACAACTGCAGGACTGCCAGGGAAAACCTTGAGCACTGAATTACCAAAGAAAGAACATTCTCTCTTTTCACTCTTGTAGTTTCAGTAGATAGTTTTTGCACTCAAGGACTTCCTGGACAACACTGTGACTTTCATTTTTTGACCAGGATTAAAATAGAACTCATGCCACCTTGTCCTAAATTAGGCCGTAAAAGAGCAAATATGACATCCTCTCATCTGAATGTAGCTTGTACTCTGCTCTGCACCGGACTGAATTTCACTGACTGGTGAATTAATTTGCATTGTGCAACACACCAGAGCCATGATTGTCCATTCACAGCATTTTCACTCCTGCATCCTGTGCACATTTTTCAGTTTGTGTGCTAGAGTCAGCGAAAAAATAAAAAATAAATAAAAAATCTTCAGCATGTCTAAGCATGTCTAGAAGTAACCACAGTCTTTGTAATTTCCAAAGATTGCACAGGTCGCCATGTTAGCATTGTTGACAAGGTAGGCTGTTATGGCAGGGAGAGATGGCAAAGTGCAAATCACTTTAAGATTTTGCACGCTAGGAAAGGCTCATCGAACCTGGAAGAAAGCAGACCGGGGAGAGAAATCAGAACAGTGTGACAGGGATTAGCCCAGTTTGCTTTGTCATTGTGCCACTTGGCTCTCCTTGCTTATAAGGAGCACACCGAGTTAGTAATTACATATATTAAATAGAAATGTGTGGCCAGGAGACAGTGCTGGCCACACATTGACAAGAATATGTGCTTTGGAGGTGCTGTATCTTTGTATGCTGTATTCAAGGACGTAGTGTATGTGGCTCACCTGAACACTTAGAGACAAACCTGTAAACAGTAATCTTATTACCACTGATCTGGGGCTGTCTTTCAGTGTTTCATTGTATAAAATAATGGATGTAGCAATCATAATGTCACCTATTTGTGTGTGGACTCCAGTTCTGAAGCCTTGAGTGTGGCATTTTGGTCGCCATCTTGAATTTTTTGGAGCCAGAGGTGACCATATCCGGACAAGAGGGTGGAGCTAAAGCTAATGCTAGCTGCTAGCTGAGTTAACAGGGTGCATTTATAGCTATGGATAACTGTGATATTGCTAAGGCTACTTTCACGAGCTTAAAACCTGGAAAGATAAGCATCCGAGTAAGATTTTTTTAGGCGACAAAAACATATCGCTTAAAGGCGCTGTATGTAAGAATGTGGCCAAAACGGTTACTGCACTCAAATTCAAAATACTGCAGAGAGTCGTGTCCGCCCCCCCTCCCCTACAGATTCGAGGTTGCTGCTCTGTGCTGAATTGCTGCATTGTGCTTCGGCGTCCGGCAAAAATAGAAGTCCTGCGTATCTGTTGCAGAGGGCTCCGGAGTGCCGCAGCTGAGATGGAGCCGGAACGCAGCACAGCTGCAGACGGTGGAAACACACACAGTGACTAGAACTGAATCCTATTGGCTTCGCTGCCGTGTCGGAGCGCAGACGCAACCAACACGCATCTGGTGGAAATTGGAGATGATTTGTTTGCCCATGGGCAGCTGCCGTGGCAGGGCCGCGACCCCACGTCCTTGATCTTCAGTTTTCCAGTGGACTGTTGGAGCAAGTCCGGCTTCTCTGCTGCTAACGCTGCTGCCGGGATACAGCGGAGGAGGAGACGGCTGCTAATGCTATGTACCGGGACACTGCTAATGCTGCTTGCCGTGCTGCTAACGTTTGTTTCTCAAAAAAATCAGTCGGGTCGATGACCCACCTGCACATGGGCTACAATGTATGATCGAAAATGAATAACAGTTGAAAATATTCAAAATGTCCATCCACATCTAGCTATGATGCTAGTTAACCAACTATGGCTAAAGCTTACCTGTCGAGGAGAAGAGTAGCCACTTCGACATCCGATTTCAAATTCTTCTCTGCTTTCAACCGTCTCCGCCGTTCACAAGCATCTCCTATATAGACCCTTGCTGTGCCTCAAGTTTTGTCTTGGCGTTTTTGGGAATCATAACAAGGTTGTTTGGGTTTAGTCACACCATCAGCCATTGTAGCTCAGTCATAACTGTAACTGATGCTGAGACTCTACTGACTGCGTGACTGGTAGACGGCGGTGGGTGGCGCAACAGGCCAAAACACAAATTCAAAACATAAACATGATTTGCAGACTGTAAAAAAATTTTTTAAATGCGAATATTCTGGCTGTACTATTGTTGTCGGTGAGATCAGTATGTTATATGAACATTATTCCTTAGTCTCTGTGGCATATTAGAATGATTTTACGACTATTTGCTTTAGATTTCTTACATAAACCCCCTTTACTCTCATGAACTGAAAACACGCTTAAATAGTGACAGCTATGGCCACACCTGTACACTTTGAATCTGGGGTTATGCCATAGTTATGTTACCTCACCAATGTTGTCGCCATGGTAGCGGACAGCACCCACCCATCACTCAAAGTGGCCATAAGCATGCACAACCCTAAGCCTTTTATTTAAATAACACCACCCATACAATTAAACAGAGAAATTAGTTCTAGAGATCAAATCAATTTTTTTTAACCAGGCTTTAAACATGTTAATTTCTGCTTTAAAGTTGGTGATTTTAACAAGTGGGACTATGGAAATTGACTCACTCTCAGAGCCAGTCTCAAGTGGCCATTTGAGGAAATGCAGCTTTTGGCACTGCCATGTTGGCTTCACTTTTCAGCCCAGGAGGTTGATGCTTGACTAGACCCCTTAGTTTCATTAAAGGAAAGTCTGTGGTATTGTAGCTATACAGTGTGCTTCCAACTATGTTGCAACTCTTTGTGGCCTTAAAGCCTTTTGCCCACATGCACGAATAAACCATTTTCTCAGATTGGTTGGTGTGGATGAAGTTGACAGGGCTGCACAGAGCCATGACATCAATCCAGTCCAACGTCTTTGGGATGAATGCACGTCAACCAAGCCAGGCCTTTTCACCCAACATCAGTGGCCGACTTCACTAGCGCGCTTGGTACAGCCAGGTCCCACAATTTTATGGGAAGTCTTCCCAGAAGAGTGGAAGCTTTTGTAGCAGCATATTAGTGTCTATGGTTTTGGAATGAGTTTCAATGTTCAGGTGTTCACATCCATCTAGATGAGAGGTTTCAAACTGTGAGGTGAGCCTTCGCACAGGAGAGTCAAGAGGGGGTGTGAAGGGAAAGACGCTGACCCGCAATTTATGTCAAAATTAGTCCTCCACCTGTGAGTCATAACTCTGCCAAATCGAAACACACAGACTGATATATATATCCTTAGATTCAGTGGGATGCAAACTTTCTGAGGATATCATTATTTCTACTGAATCCACTTCTAAGATCCTCCTTAGAACTACAGAACTTGCCTGAGATCATGTTTTTATGTTTTCTTTAGCAAACTAAAGTAATCCAGTCATAGCTGTCTGTACATCCATGGCTACACTGGAAACAGGAACTGTTAATAGCTATTTTGCCGTATTTTACCAGTGCCAGTTTTCCAAAATAGGGCCCATACTGTCAGGCTTTGAAAACCCCTGGTCCAGATTAACTGAGTGTAAAGACCATAAAAAAATGGCTGAAATTTGCACAAACATGTAGCCACTGGAGATCAAAAGTGTGTCCATTCAAGCATTTTGTTTCTCACCATGAGGGACAAAGCCTCATCCAAATTCTTATTAGCAACTACAACAAAAATGAATTTATAGATAATTAATACATTCATTAATATATTCATAATTAAAATTGCAAAAGTACCGGCAGCCTGACCTTGGTTTTCATTTGATTGTGCAGCGTGAGGCCAGAAAAGAAGATTGATGAAAGAATTATTGGCATTAGTATTCAGGGTGTTAATAAATAATCTGGAAAATCATTAAATGTGATGAGAGCAGCAGGTTAATAATGGAAATGTACTGAGTGTTGACATATTCAGGGACAGAAAATTGTCATCACACCCTTTCCAGCAGGGCCCAAGCAGTCACTGCCATTCATTATGCATGGACCTAACACGGCATGTGACAAGGATTTTCACAAATGTTAATCTTTCTGCAATTACTTGAGACGTGATGTAGTGCACATATGCAAAGCTCTTGCACAGCAGTCTTTGCTTAAATCATTTTATTCATTTTAACCTGCACTAAATAAGGCTTTGCTTAAGTTCATTTGAGGGAAGACATTGTTATGTTGCCTCTTGAGAAATCTGAACCAAAAATGGAGTTTCATATGGAAATTTGCATCTGAGAGTGAAAGTATATATTAATTGTCCATCAAAGTTCAAGTTGCTGGAGCTTGGAAATAATCCTCAGAACGTCAGCATGCACATGCTCTCAGAATATCTGCGTATCAGCAGAGCCGTTTCTCTCTGAGAACTGCCACCTCCCTGATGCTCACTGATGCTATCGGCAGCCTCCAAATCGGCTTTACTACAGTTGAGGCAGGAGACTTTCCTAATGGATTAAGGTGTAACAGACAAATCCTCTCTATAAGGGTCTGTCATTCTGCACATCACCAAATTTCCTCATTTCCCGCTCACTAAAAGACGGGGCTGATTAAGCTATTATTCCCAGGAATCCATGTATTACATATGAATGAGAGGGCTGTGTTTATTTCCATTCAGCAAAAGTCTTTCAGTGCTTCAACTCGCCTCGCTCCGAGCCCCCACCCTCCCCCTTCTATAGTCAACACTTAACAAGTGTGGACACTCAGGCCGTCTTGTTGTCTATT